AACCGCATTCTCGTGTCAGCGATTTACATCATCGCGCAGTTCCTCGCAGTCTGTCCAGCCTTCGTGGAAGGTCAGTGATGAAGCTCGACAAGCGTCATTAGACACGTGCCCGAGTTACCAACCCTTGGGTGTGTTCAAGGGTTACCGAGTGTCACGCGTGATCGTTCAGCATGCAGAGATAACTACAGGAATGTGGTCGTTGATGTGCTCAGGACTAAATATATTAGACCGCTTATTTTCGTTACAGTTCGCGTTCGCTTAGTTTCTTCACAACAATGGTGGAATTTTATTACTTTTCATCAATTTTGACAAAGATTTAAAAATCATCAGTGATCATAGAATGAGTACATCACGACCGTGTTCTTAATTTTTTTTGCAAATGTGCATGCTATAATATATGTCATCGTTGAAATTTTGTCAATGCCGTCGTGGATAATTCAAACCGTGCATATTAAGAAAAACTGTTAGACATAGCCAGTGGTCCGAAATGCGAAGTACAGAGACGGTTTGTGATTGGTTCATTCCTACGAGAGTTTCATAACACGACGTGACATAACATTACGAGGACCAAGCAGATACAAGCTTGCAAGGACGCAAAATATATCTGTGTCGCTCACTTGCCCGTGTGCTTTTTCACCAACGACACGTGTAATGGCAACACGTTTGAACACATATTTAATGTGGACCGACAGAGAGACGTTTGATAGCACAGCTATTTCCATGCGGTAAATTAGGATAATTTGTTTCCTGCTTTACGCGCTTGTTTTTATATGTACCTCAACCGGTTGGTCAGTGAGACGTAATAAATATGCGAGCTTTTCAATTTGCCCGAAAACATCTCCCAACATTTGCTTTGAAATAAATTCTCCAATTTCGTTTGGCCGTATTCCGTTTAATCTCTGGATGAAAATAACTCGATGAAAGGGATATATATATAGGCGGGTACCGAGAAGAATCTAATGTTTCAGATGTTTATATTAAGGAAGTTAATCAACATAAATATCGAAATGAATTTCACCAATGAGAAATGTAAAAGTTTATATATTTCTAAGGAATATTGAATCATTCCTACAATTCGATGTTGGACTATAATTTAACATTTTCAAATACTCTTTCCGTATTCCTATATAGTATAATCTATATTATCGTTATCAAGAAGAATAAAGTCTCTAAGAGATAGCATGTAGTCCCAGAAAAATATCGGAACTATCAATATTTAATATTCAATAATAATAAAAGATTAATTTACATTAATAAACATAAAAGTAGACATTATATCAATGTGATTGGTTTTTAGACCCATATCGATTAATCAATCTTTACTCCTCTTTATGAGAAATACGAGGAGTCTCTAAAATCTGAAACTTTTCCCTTAGGATTCATTGCATTTAAAATGATTTTCACTAAACGGTGGAGAGTAAACAGTGTTAGGAAACGTTCGTTTCGTTTAATTTATTAAAGAGTTATTACGTGTAAATGATCCGGGAAATATCATCTCCTCGTTAGGAACAACTTAGTTCGCATTTGCTATTATCTACCATGGAATCCTCGACAAAGTTCGCAGCTAGCCGAGACACGCGGATTGTTACGCTGGATATCTTACTATGGTGTCTAGAGGGCTGGCTCGATTTCTCTCGTCGACGTGAGATTATCCCTCGATATCACGCTGCATTATTTATCCGCCCCCATAAAACCGTCGAATTTTCGGAAAGGCGAGAATCCTTCGAGCAGGCAAGGAAACTTTTGTCCGCTACCCAGAAGCTCGGCCCCTACCCTTACTCACTGACAATAAGAAATGGAAGGGGTGGCAACTGCCTGCGAAGCTTCCACCTTTTTCATCGTCCTTTTTTTCCTTCCTGGCTTTCTACTTTATTCGAGCAACTTCCCCGCAGACCGGAAATCTGTTCGCGTCGGCTGCCAAAAAATCGCTGGCATCGTAAACGACGCTCATTTAATTTGGAGCCAACAAATGCTACTGAATGTATCTTCGAAACAGTTTCACGGCGCTGTTCTATTCTAAGTTCTTGCTCAACTTTTAATGTCCACGACAGCGATATATTTCACGTTGAAACTACAGTTTGAGCAATTTTCACCGATTTCGGGAATTCTTTGACAGTTCCAAAAATTCATGGTGGATAAAAATAAGAAGAAAACAGAATTTTTTTCTTAACTCGACTTTTTGGAGAATTTCCTTTTTTATTACTGACATAAATTCCAAATTAGGTGGTAGACACTTATTAAAACACTGAAATCATTCATATGTAATGTAGTGTATTCATTATGCTCGATCATTTTTTCTCGATTCTTAATTATGAACACTTTTGTACTTCACGCCACAAGTTTTATTTTTGTGATATGCAATGGATGCTTTTCGTGTAATTTATATTTCAAAAGATTTCACCCCTTTATATCTACAATTCCAGGCATGAGTTTCCAACAAAACCTAAGTTTTTAATATATTTAATATTAAGTATTTAATATATACGAATACGGCATGCATTGATTTTGAAGATATATTTCAAAGTAATCAATATCATAGTAAATTTTATCAGTTTCAATTTCATATATGCATTAACTTCTTTGTTACTTATTCCAAATATTTTTTCAACACATTGCTTATATCTTCTGTTTCACATTTTCACTACAAATGATATTAACAAATAATGACAATAAATTTCTCAAGCAAATCAACAATAAGTACATACATTTTTAATATGTTTCATAAAAAATTAACATGTAACGTTCTAGGCCTCCAAATTTTTATAAACCGACTATAATTTCCATGACAACGTTAAAATAGAATTTTCGAACTAGCCTAATAAATCAAATTAAATGATATAAAGAGACGTAACATTTTAATAAATTTTAATTACGTTAATAATATATAACTCTCTCTGTCTATCTGCCCCCCCCCCTCATTCTTTCGACACTTGAATTTCTCTTTATTAACTTTGCGAGAACTTTCTTCATTGTTGTATAAGAAAATTCTATTTCGCTAGGATTGAAACAATTTGGTGGCTGTACCTGGTGTATAAACTAATATGGAGCGAAGTGGGATTGCATTAGCTTTCATCCTGGAAAATTCTTACTAGCAAATTACCCCATACTGCCTCAAACCGTTATCATAAATTTGGAACACTTCCTCGAACGTATGTCTTCTTCATTGGTAATAAACTATCGTGTAGAGTCTACCACGTACCGACCATCGTGTTCCTTCTTTCTGACTCAAGAAAACCGACTACTCTAATACCTTCTTCGGAGTTGCAAGAGCAAAATTCACATTTCACCATAATCGATTTTTACTGCAAATTTTCTTATAACAGTTCAAGATGCGGAAAATCCGTTGGAAAGCCGCACAACGCGCTTTTTAAATGCGGGTAAAACTTCTGAATCTGCCGTAAAGCTATGTAGGGAAGCCCAGGGATGTATAGATAGACAGATAGGGGGATACACTTCAGTTAGGGGATCTCTTCGGCCTGTTCACGCGCGAGCCTACTACATTGGGTTGGTTCTGGAGCAGAGCCTCCTAACGTTTGATTCGATTTATTTGTAGCTTGGTAATACACTCGCGTACAGGTTGATAAGACATGTTCGAACAGATATTTTTATCCATTTGTACAAAAATATTATCCGATGTACCAGGACCGCGATATAAAAATGTTTATCTTCAAATTGATAATACAGAACACTTCCTTACAGTATTACAATTCATAGTGACGCTACAGCCTCATTCAAGTAATTTCATGTTATTTGTGCATAATTAGTAGGGGAGAAGATGGAAATATGATACAGACTTTCATTTTCGTGGGAAAGACGTATTAAGAATATAAAAGTCACACGGGTGAAAGGTGAAAATGGTACTTCACAGATCTGAAATAATGTAGGAGTAATGTTTTAGTAGTAACATTTCGAAAATATACTACTTTTGCGAAACTATGACAAAAACTGATTCAAGAAGATTGAATGTTAACACTGGAATTACTAAACTATAATGTATAGTATAAATATAACATAATTATAGTAATAATAATGAAAATCGTGTAGTGAACTAAATAGATATCTATAATTACATATCTATTTAAGCAATGGATAATACTAATTTCTCTAAAAATAATTCCATGCTTGCAATAAATGAAAAGCAAAAATTTCTAAATCCATCATTAGCAGTTATAGTATTAATATATCTCAGAAATGAATGGACAATTGAAAGCTTAATATTATAATTACACCACTAGAAACAAAGTATCACATTTGTCAATTAATACGAGGGAAAAAATGAATGAAACTTATTCTGAAAGCTTCTAAACAAGAAAAAACAATTATTTTCATATTGCAGCTGAAAATCAAAGCAGTAGTATCATTTCTGTTCGATGGCATTAATAGTAAGACTGATACCAATTACTAACACACCGTACTATCTGCTTAATTCTAAAGGAGAAGTTCATATTATAACCCTAGATCATACTCCTGTATAAGCACAATTATTTTCAAACGATATGGAAATATTTCAGTTTGAAATCTTCAAAATTAGTTTTCTGTATGTCTCAAAAACAGAACTTTTGTAATAGATAATTAGTTAAAATAATCATTAGTCACCTTCATATTTCAGAATAAATAAAATAAAAAAAAGTCTTAATTTACAATTACTTGGCTCATAAAAGTAAAAAAAGAGAAAAGGGAAATTCTCTGAGAAAAATTATAACTTATTTATAAATTATTCAATATCATATTATTCATAGCATGCTTCACTTAAACCATTCAGAATAACAAAAAATTTCAATACTGAAAGAAGAAGCATCATCTTTTTACTGTCATAAAGGAAGAAATGTTTCTATAACGATCATATAATCTAAAATACATTAAAATAGCATAAAATCGTTTTTGCTCGTCGCACTGATATGCTGATAATGGGATGCCTAACCAAAGTAATACATTGGACACGATACCTTTTGATTCTGAAGAAACAAAATGAACTGCTATCTTAATACCAATAACGCCCATTTAGCTCATGCTAAGAATATCATCGTTTCAGCCATAAATATCGAAGAAAGTCGTTAGAATGAAGCCCAC